GCTGGGTCATGAAACGTCTGCAAGAAAACAACCACGCTCAGAGAACAGAACACCGAGGACTGCACAGTCCTGTTCCTCCTCCTCTTCCTCCTCCTGCCCACCTTCCACCCCTTTCTAGCACTGATAATGTTCCATAGTTTGGTATTGAAACTTCTGCAAGGAAACAACCCAGCTCAGAAAGCAGCAAGTACTCCACAGTTCTCCTCCTCCTCCTCCTCCTCCTCCTCCTCCTCCTCCTCCCCATCATCGTCATCCCTCCATTCCACAACCCCGAGTCCCTTCCGGAACTGATGATGTTACCTAGTTGGGTCATGAAACGTCTGCCAGGAAACAACCCAGCTCAGAGAGCCTCAAGGGCTCCTCACACCTTCAATCATTCAAATTAGCCTCTCAACTATGTTTCGTACAGGTAGTCCTCGACTTACGATGACACCCCGGAGCCGAGTTTCCATTGCTAAAGGATGACGCTTAAGTGGGTCACCCCAAGTTTTACGGCCTTTCTTGCCATCTTTTCCGGCTTCCAAACAAGCACAGTCAGCGAGGGAAACCGGATTTGCTTATTGACCACATGTAATAACTGCTGTGATTCTCTCAACAATCACGATGGGGGGAAAAAGGTGGTAAAATTGCGCGTGACTCACTTGGCACCTCCCTCACCTAGCAGTGGAAATTGTGGTCCCCGTCCTGCTTGGCAGTCCTCCAAGCTACTACTGCTGCAGCCAGCTGCCTGCAGTTTGGCAAGTTCAAATCCTACCAGGCTCCAGGTCGACTCAGCCTTCCATCCTTCTGAGGTGGGTAAAAATGAGGAGCCAGATTGTTGGGAAGACAAGAGGCTGACTCTGTAAACCGCTTAGAGAGCACTGGAAAGCACTCTGAAGCGGTATATAAGTCTAAGGGCTATTACTATTTACCCATATTTTTTTTTTCAACTGTAAGGTAATTGGAATAGAATAGAATGGAATGGAATGGAATGGAAGGAGAGGAGAGGAGAGGAGAGGAGAGGAGGAATATAGAAGAGAATAGGAAATTAGAAGAGAAGAAAATCAGGAATAGAATAGAATAGAATAGAATAGAATAATATGGGAATTAGGAATAGAATATAAGTCTAAGTGCTATTGCTATTTACCCATATATTTTTTCAACCGTAAGGTAATTAGAATGGAATGGAATGGAATGGAATGGAATGGAATAGAATAGAATAGAATAGAATAGAATAGAATAGAATAGAATAGAATAGAATAGAATAGAATAGGAATTAGGAATTAGGAATTAGGAATTAGGAATAGACTAGAATAGAATAGGACAGGACAGAATAGAAAATTAGAAGAGAAGAGAATCAGGAATAGAATAGGAACAGAACAGAATAGAATAGAAATAAGAATTAGGAATAGAATAGAATAGAATTAGAATGGAAAATGTAGAATTCATAGAAGAATAGAATAGAACTAAGATTTAGGAATAGAAAATAGAATGGAACAGGAAATTAGAAGAGAATCAGGAATAGAACAGAACAGAATAGAATAGAATAGAATAGAATAGAATAGAATAGAATAGAATAGAATATCAGAATAAAGAATAGAAATAAGAATTAAGAATAGAATAGAACAGAACAGAACAGAATAGAATTCTTTTATTGGCCAAGTGTGATCCAACACACAAGGAATTTGTCTTCCGTGCAGAAGCTCTCAGTGTACATAAAAATACATTAAAAAATACATTCATCCAGGCTCATAAGATAGAAGGTACTTAGTGATCGTCATAGGATCTTCGTCGCCCCTCGATTTAAAAGCTGAGAAGGTTCCTAGGCAGAATGATAACGGCGGCCTTGCCTCGCCTTCCTTCGGGGAATCGGTCAGCTGCTCCACTAACGGCCCCGTCCTCCCTCCAGATCACTCCGGTTGCGTTGACGTCGAAACATTTGGAGCGGCTGAAGAACAACGTCATGGTGATCGAGGTGTGGAATAAGGTGCTCAGCCCCGGAGGGGACCGACTGCTGGGACTGGCCAAGCTTCCCCTCCATCAGTTCTACGTTTCGTTCAAGTAAGAAGCTGCCTTTGCTTTCCTACCTGCAGGGAGCCCTCAACGGCCATAGGGGAGCCCAAATTATAGGTCGCCTAAGTGAAAAAGTTGAGTTTTGCTCCGTTTTGACAACTTTTCTTGATGCATTCTTAAGTGAACCGCTTCAGCTGCTAAGTTAATACTGTGTTTCTCATATAATAAGGCCGGGTCTTATTTTTTTTTGAGCCCCGAAAAAATGGCTAGGCCATCTTTTTGGGGGTGACTTAATTTCCCCCCCCTTGCATCTTCGAGCAGGCGGGCAGCGATGGCTTGGATGTTGACCTCGGCGTTGGTGGGGCACTTCGTATTGGGATCAACGCAGGCAGCACCATATCCGGGTGTGCAACAAAAGTACTTCCTAATGGCAAGCCCCCCCACCATTCCCCCCATTTCACATGTTTTAATATAGGCCTTAATTTGGGGGGAGGGGCTTAATTTCATTTCATGCCTATAAAACATGCTGGGACTTGCTATTGGGGGAGGCCATATTGTTGGAGAAACAGGGTAGTAACATGTTAGCAAATCATGTGACCCCGGGGAATGCTGCAATGGTCATAAGTGTGAAAAATGGCCATAAGTCGCTTTTTTTTCAGTGGCCTTCTAACTTTGATCGGTCACTCAATGAACTTTTGTAAGTTGAGGATTGCCTGTCATAAATACATCATAAATACAAATATTTATCTACAGGTAATCATGAATACCTGGTCAGGTAGCCCTTGATGAAAAAAGTGATACGACCCTTTTTTACACTTACAGCCATTTCAGGATCCCCAAGGCCATGTGATCAAAATTCAGACCGTTGGCAGCTGACTTACATTTATGACAATTGCAGTGTCCCAGGGGTCACGGGTTCTCCATTTGCGACCTCCTCACCAAACAAAGTCAATGTGGGGAGCCAGATGTCAACTCCTCACCAAACAAAGTCAATGTGGGGAGCCAGATGTCAACTAAAAAAATACTCCTTTGGTCTTTTTAGCCTCCAGAAAAAGGAAGTGGGGGAAGACAGTGCATTCCTTAAGTGCCTAGATAATCACCCTGTCAGCCCAAAGTTGTCGGAGCGCAAAAATATTACTGGAGAGCATGATGGATGACTCTAGGCTATGGATGTGTCCCATTGGAGAATACACATCCAGAGGGTGGAGGGAAGACCAGGGTCAAGGGGGAAATGAATGATATATTTGACTATCGGCTGCATCCAGCTAACACCAACATGGCCACTTCTAATAAATCAATTTTCTTTTCTCTGCGATGCGGATAGAGACTTATGATTTGAATGGGGGTGGATTTGTTGGAGTCCTGACACCAGATTCACTTAACAGCCAGCTCACTAACTTAACAATGGCCATGATTTACTTAACAACCGGGGCAAGAAAGGTCGTTAAATGGAGCAAAGTTCACTTACCTTGCTTAGGAACTGTAGAAATTTCGGGCTCCATTATCGTCATACGTCGAGGACTACATGTAGAGAAATATGGCAAGCCAGGCCTACTCATGGCTTCTGCTGTCAACTCGTAAAGCATTCCTGGCTTGCTCTTGAGTTGCCATAAGAAGGAGGGGGGGAGATCTGATGGAGCAGTTCGTTGCTATGATCAGAAGCACACCCTGGGAGGAGGGGGGGAAACAGGGCCATAGGTGGGCAGTAGCTTCGTTGGAGAGTGTAATTTATGACACACCCTGGGAGGAGGGGAGAAACAGGGTCATAGGTGGGCAGTAGCTTC